TGGCTCTGCCACCAGCAGTGCCCACGTGCCCCTCAGAACAGCCCATTCCCATCCCATTCCAGGCCACGGGTGATCATCAGGGATAAGGGCAGGATGACACCGTGGCCCTGCCAGGCTGGGGCCGTGGTGCTGGGCAGAAGCACAGGGAAACAAAGGAGCCAGTGAGCTGGGGGGGCAGGGGGGACTGGGGCTGAGCGTGCAGGCGCAGGAGATTTCAGGGCCTGAAATATTCATCAGGGCTGAGGCGGCGCCTGCCGTCACGCCGGCCGCGAGCGGTGGCACGGGGGGGCTTCAATAATGCATCGCTTGGAAACGGCTCAGAGAGGGGCTGGGGCACACAGAAAATGGGGGTTCCCTCCACTGGCTGCAGCCACCCCAGGCCTGTGCTGCTGGCCAGGTGAGGGGAGCTGGGAGCTGGGCAGGAGGGGCTGGGGATAGCCAGGAGAGCACCAAGAGGGGCTGGCAGGTGTGGGGTGCCCTGTGCTGCTGACAGCCACCACCCGAGGGGCTGGCAGAGGACCCTGGGTGGGTGCAGAGTCCCTGCAGCCTGGCAGTGCCCAGCTGCTCCAGCTGGGCTGGGTGGGGTGCCATGCCTGGCTGTGAGCATGGCCCCGTGCCCCCCATGCAGGTGTTGCTGTCGCAGTCACTTTGTGCTCCTGTGCTCAATAATTCAGAGCATCCACCCCGCTGTGCTGCACTTGCCTCTGGCCACGGGCTGGCCACAGCAGCTCCTGCCAGCTGCTGGGACTGGCCTGTCCTGTCCCTGTCCCTGGGCTGGTCAGGAGCTGCCCTGGTGCTGGTCAGGCAGCTCCAGGCTCGGCCGTGGCTAACGAGCTCTTTGCCAGGGAAGCTCGTTAGCAGCCTGAGGATCAAATGAGCACAGGGCAGATCGGTGGATGTGGGGAGCAGGGCCCAAGACACTCCAGGGCTCCACCTCCACCCTCCCCACAGCATCCTTCCACTGGAGAGGCCGGATGGCAGCGCAGGTGGCATGAGCCTGGCGACACCCTGGCATAGAACACCTCAGCATCCCCTGGGTGGGCACCTACCCCAGCCTCTGCCCCCACTGTCTGCTGCCCTGGAGACAGGGGCACTGTGCTGGGGTGGTGCCCCGTGTCATTTGCACCCACCCATTGAAGTCCTAATCATTCTTTTCTCCCCAGGGATGCAGAGATTGCCCCAGCACGGGGGCCATGCAGGCCCTCAGTCTGCAGCAGGTCCAAGCAGCGCTGGCAGCAAGGGCAGCTCCTGCCCATCCCTGCTCTGGCATTGTCCAGCAGGATCATTGTCCAGCAGGATTACATCACGCTGGGAGTGCACTCCAGCACGTGCAAGGGCACAGGAATGACAGGACAGACGGACACAGGCATGGACAAACAGCCACCCTGGCCCAGAACAGTGATGGCACAGGCACCATCCGTGCCTACACCCCTGCACATGCACACCCACCGGTGCCAGGCTGTCCCACACGCACCGACTGCCACCCTGGCCCCTGGAGTGGACACAAACCTCAGCGCCCGCTGCTCCCAGCTGGCAGCTGGGGCTGGCCAGCTGCTCGCCCAGCCCTGGCGATGCAGGTGGGATGTGCCAGCCCCTGCCCGTGCCGCGCCAGCCCGGTGCCCGCACCCTCATTGCTATGGCAGGAGCGGGCTCGGTGCGTGCAGCTCCGGTTAATTAAGCGGCGCGGGCCAGCTCCCTCCAAGCCCCCGCTGAGTGCTTTGCTAAATTATAACCTTGACGATGCGCATCATCAGGCGGCTGCTGGGGAACGGCCGCTCCGTGCCCAGCCCTGCTGTGGGGCCGGGGGGCTGCCCGGCCACGGTGGCATCGCGAGGAGGTGGCATCGCGAGGAGGTGGCATCACGAAGAGGTGGCATCACGAAGAGTGCCCGTGGCTGCCGGGTGATGAGGGAGCAGCTCCGAGGTGGGTGCTGGGCTCTCAGAGTCCTGCGGGCAGTGCCCGCTGTCCAGCCCACGGTGCCCAATGTCTGGCGTTCCCAGTGCCCTGCTCCTCAGGGCTCAGCGTGCGTGTCCCCTCAGCACACGTGTCCCCTCGGCATGTCGAGCCAGTGGCCCCGTTTCCATGGTGACACGGAGCCATTTCCCATCTCCGGGATGCTCTCGACAGCTCTGGGGTGGGCGCTGCCGCCGTTGCCCTTCGCCCATGGGGAGCAGGCAGGGGTGGGCCCCACCGCCCTGGGGGGCTGTGCTCCCCCCTTTCAGCCCTCGGGGAGGGGCACTGTGCCCCGTGTTCCCTGTGTGTCCTGGGCTACCCCGGCACAGCTGCAGAAGCTGATCTCATCCTCGTGCTGGGGTGATGAGGGGGTTTGGGGCACGCTGAAGCCCCTGGCACAGCAGGGTTGGGTGGGGGCAGCGTGGCCGGGTGAGCGATCTGCTGCCAGGAGTGGGAACACCACAGAGCTAAAGGGGTTGTGCCCAGCAGGCTCATCCCAGTGCCACGGTGCCTGTTGTGACAGTGAGCCAGGCCATGGGGTGGGCACGGCCACGCTGTGCTCCCTCCTCGGTGCCTGCTGCGGCTCCCAGCCCCTGGCACGACACGGTTCTTTATCCTGCTCTCCATCTCCGTGCTGCCTATCACCATTTCCCATCACTTGCTATTCCAGGTGATAAATTTTCCCTTCCCGCTTTCTGAAGGTTTAACTCCCACCCACCTGGGGCACCCGACACCCTCACCCCACCCTCCTCCCCATGGGCACCCCGGCTGGTGTGGGTGGCACTGGCAGGGGGGGTAGGGGCAGCCCCGAGGCAGGGGGATGGTGAGACAGAAGGGACGGGCTAATGGAGCCCATTCCTTGAATAGATTCAATTTCTGCCGCGGCGGCTGCGGGGTGCGGAGCCATCAATTGGATTCAGGGGACGGGGAATCTGATTTGGAGCGGCCGCGCCATCAATTAGCCGTTATTGATGGCATTGCTCATTGGAAGTCGATGGGATTTGAAGCTGGTGGCAGCTCCTGCATACCAAACAACTCCGGCTCAAGGACAGGGCCCGGACCTAGCACCCACTCTGGGGGTCCCACAGGGACCCCTCGGCCTGATCTGGGGATGCCGGAGGGTCTGGGGAAGGAGTGGTGCAATGGGCAGCTCCCCCTTGAATCCCTGCATGGGTTCCTGCAGGGCACTGCCCGCCAACATCCCTGCACTGGAGGCCTGCAGGGCACTGCTGTCCCCCAGCACCTTTGTATGGGGGTTCTTTGGGGGATGCCCCCACTCAGCATCCCTGCACGGGGGTCCCACAGGGTACAGCCCCCTGGAATCTCTGCACGGGGGTCCTGCAGGGCATGGCTGTCCCCTGGAATCCCTGCATGGGCATCCCACAGGGTACAGCCCCCTGGAATCCCTGCATGGGGGTCCCACAGGGTACAGCCCCCTGGAATCCCTGCACGGGGGTCCCACAAGTCACCATCACCCCTGACATCCCCACCCACCGGCCCTACAAGCCCCACTGCCCCCCAGCATCCCCGCAGGTGGGTACTTTGGGGGATGCCCCACCCAGCATCCTAATGGGGGTCCCTCGGGTACGATGTCCCCCAGAATGTCTCACCCCCTCCTGGGGAGGAGAGGGTCCCACAGGAGATGCCCCCCCTGCCTCGGGCAGCCTCTGGTCCCCCAGGGGGAGGGGGCACCCCTCCCTGCAGGGCGGGGTGCACCGTGGGGTGCAGTGGGGGAAGGGCAGGCAGCCGCGCGGGGGGAGGGGAGCGGCACGGTCGATGCTTTCGCTCAGCCTCTTGCCAAGCAGCTTCTTTCTCCCAGAAGCCATAAAACCTGTCTGACGTGCCCAGCACCACTGCGGCAGGCGGCCGGCAACGCCTGCACGGCGAGGGGCTGGGGGGCCCTGCTGCGGGCGGCCCCGGGGGGAGCTGGGCCCCTCTCGAGCCCCTCAGGAGGGCGAGTGGGGGGCTGCACTCGTGGGATGGGGGGTTGAGAGCGCCAGGGAGCTCTGCTGCTGGTTGGAAGCCTGGGGCATGTGGCAGAGCCGTGACTCTGACAGGGACCCGGCTGTGCCATGGGATCAGCCCCCCCTGGTGCCCCATCCACTCGGGAAGTGGGAAACCCTGCAGCTCCCCACACCCCCCATTTCTGGCATCTTGTGGGGTGCATAGATGGAGGGATGGACAGAGAGCGGCTGCTCTGCGGACAACCCAACCACACCCAAAGGTGGCAAGAGGGACCAGGGTGCCCGGCTGGGGGCTCTGGGTGAGTGACCCCCAAGCCCACTGCCCCCTCACCCCCTGTCCCACCGCTCATCCCACCACCAGGTGCTAATTACCAGCAGCTCGTCTGTAATTAAAGCTCTCCGGTGGCAGGAGCTGACGACTCAATATCAAACTGCTGCAATGAAACCCTTGGCCGTGAGGGCTGTGCAGGGAGCGAGGGGCAGGGACACCCTGGAGGAGCCACCCTGGCACCCGAGCAGGGCTGGGGGGCACGGGCAGGGGGACGGCGGGGGGGCTGCACGGCCGGGGGCGCAGCGATCTTGCAAATATTGTATTGCTCAGTCACTACCAAGGGTTAAAACCAAACCGAGGGCACGGAGGAAGGCGTCTTCCCAGAAGACAGATCAGCGTGTCCTCGCTGCAGGAGGACACAGCAGCGGCGGATGCCGCCATCGGAGCCGCTGCCCCGCTCCGGGGTCGGGGGTCCCTGGGCCCCGGGGGAGGGGGTCCGTGGGGAAAGGCACGAGATGAGGTGGTGGCCGTGGGGCAGAGCAGGCGTTCGCTGAGGGGACCCCAGCGCCGGGCCGGGCTGTGGCGATCCCGGCAATCCCGACGTGCGGCGATGCGACGGCGCTGAGAGGGAGAGAGCCCCGTCCAGGGATGCCTCAGGGCAGCAGGCAGGTGCCCAGCCGGTGCCCCCGCTGCCCCTCACCTTCCAGCCCGGAGCTCCCGGCCCCAGCTCGGCTTTGCGGAGGTCCAGCAGGCGGGTCATGGCCTGGGGCTGCCCCACGGGCTCGGGGGGGTTGGCTGGGAGGAAGAGTCTGGAAGCGGCGTTGGGGCAGAGGAGCCCATCCCCCCGCCAGGGGCAGCGCCGGGGTCAGATCCAGAGCAGGGCCAGGAGCACGAGCGCCAGGCATGGGCTGCAGGGCTGCGATGGCACCGCGGTGCCCCGGGCAGGAGCCACATCTGCCAGGGCAGAAGCAGGGGTCAGGGCGAGCCGGTCCGCGACCTCCCAGCCCCGCCCCTGTACCCACCTTCGGGCCCCCCGCGCCCTCGGGGCTGCGAATTCGGCACCTCTGTCACCGGCTCTGGCGCTGAAAAAAACCCCACCGATGTCAGGAACCGGCTCCGGTACCCCCCAGCGGGGAGCGGTGGAGCCCCCGAGTTTCGGGGCACAGCCCCCCCGGCCGGACTCACTGGTGCCTCGGCAGCAGACGGTGACGCGCAGCTTCAGGCATCGCCCGGCGCTCTCGGGGCTGGGCACGGCTGGGCAGGGGGGGTCAGCGGGCACCGGCTCCGCTGCGGCCCCCCCGGGACCCCCCGACGGCGGCTCCGCGCGGGCCGGGGGCGCCCCCTCCCGGCGGAACGCGGGGACGGCGCCCCCACCCCGGAGCACGCAGAGCCCCCCGGGACCCCGAACCGGGGACACCCCGACCCCTCGTGACCCCCGCTAGAGCACCCAGACACCCCCTGCACCCCGAACCGGGGACACCCCGAACCGGGGGCACCCCGAACTGGGGGCACCCCGAACTGGGGGCACCCCGACCCCTCGTGCCCCCACCCCGGAGCACCCAGAGCCCACCCTGCACCCCGAACCGGCAGCACCCACCTCGGAGCACCCAGACACCCCCTGCACCCCGAACCGGGGACACCCCGAACCGGGGGCACCCCGAACCGGGGGCACCCCGACCAGAGCCCACCCTGCACCCCGACCCCTCGTGACCCCCGCTAGAGCACCCAGACACCCCCTGCACCCCGAACCGGGGACACCCCGAACCGGGGGCACCCCGAACCGGGGGCACCCCGACCCCTCGTGCCCCCACCCCGGAGCACCCAGAGCCCACCCTGCACCCCGAACCGGCGGCACCCACCTCGGAGCACCCAAACACCCCCTGCACCCCGAACCGGGGGCACTCTGACCCCTCGTGCCCCCACCCCGGAGCACCCAGAGCCCACCCTGCATCCCACCTCCCCACACACCCTCCACCCCAGGGCATCCAGACCCCACCCATGCACCCTGATCCCCTTGTGCCCCCCTCCACGGGAACCCAGAAGCCCCTTTAACCCCGACCCCCTTGTGCCACCCTCCAGGGGCATCCAGAACCCCTCTGCACCCCACACCTCCATGACTCCCCCACCCCAGGGCACCCAGAACCCCTCTGCACCCCCATCCCCTCGTGCCCCCACCTTTGGCACACCCACAGCCTCCTGCACCTCAGCCCTGGCATCACCCAGAACCCCCGTGCTCCCCTCACCCTGAGTGACATCCTGGCTGTACCCTGACCCCCCACACGCCCCGAACTCGGCTCCATGGGGGTCCTGGTGACCCCCAACCCTGGGGACTGCATTCAACACCCCCTGACGTGTTCTGACCCTGGGGAGCACAGCCCCCGCGGCTCCCGGGGGGCACTCACAGATGTAGTAGTAGGTCTCCCCCGGCTGGAACTCGAAGCCGAGTGAGAAGGGGGTGAAACGCTGGATCTTCTCAGAGAACCGCACGGGCCCGAAGGGCGCCCGGGGCCGGTTGCACTCCCAGCGCTTGAAGGCGCCGGGGGTCTCGTAGCAGCCGCGGTAACCCTCCCGATCCACCATGAAGAGCGTGAAGGTCTCAGCCCGGCCGGCGGGCACCGCGCCCTCGTAGTGCGGGCAGTAGATGTCCAGGTAGTCATTGATGGCCACCTGGATGGAGTAATCGTCCCGCAGGAACCTGCCGGGCGGGACAAGCCGGGGGTCTCTTAGGAGGGGTGCCCCGCTGACCCAGCGGAGCGGGGAGCTGGGCTTTTCCCAAAAAACCCCCGACAGCCAGGCATCAGCTCGGATTAGCCGCAGGCCGCTGGAGCTGAATGGGCTCGGCCAGCGCGGCCGGGGGGGTTTGTGCAGCCACGCTGGCCCAGCACAAAGCCCCTCGCCCCAGGCACCCGCCTGGCCGCTGATCGGACATGACACGGCGCTGGGGACCGCGCGGAGGGGACGCTCCGGTCCCGCACGGGGCTGGCAGGGGGTGGTGGCCGGGGCAGGGGGCACGGGGCGGGCACACCGGGGATGCTGTGAGCTCGAGGCCGGGGTGGAGCAGCTGTGCGGGCACACACACGCGTGTGCACACACATGAACGTGCACACGCGTGTGCACACTGTTGGTCCTGAGAGTCTGGGATGGGTGATGGAAAAGGGAGGCAGGCTCAGCCCCCCACCTGGCCCCGGTGCAGCTGGTGCTCACAGACAGTTCTGGCAGAGTCCAGAATGTTCATCAGCAGGATGGCAGCGCTGGCAAAGGGGGATTGAACCCCCGACACCCCACTCAGGCCGGGGGATCCCCGAGGGCAGGATGGAGCACAGACTCTTGCTGACTCAGAGCATCCCACGGGTGACGCTGGCTGGGACGGGCCTGGGCAGAGCCAAGGGCTGGGGGGACGGGGCCCTGCCTGACCCAGCAGCGGGGCATACAGAGCCCCCCTTCCTGGGGCGCCCATGGGTGGTGGGCTCTCACCTCTGCCAGCTGCAGGGTGGGAGCAAGGCAGCGTCTGCACGCCCAGCCCTGCCCATCGTGTGCCAGTGTGCCCAGCACAGCAGGCCCAGAGCCCGGGACCTCCGTGGGGGAGGCCCCAGCTCCTGACCCTGCCTCCTGCTCCCTGAGAAGCCCCGAGCTGGGAAATACCTAAAATGGAGGAGGCTGGAAGGGGGATGGAGCCAGACCCTGGTGACAGCCAAGCCCACAGGCAGCACCAACGGCGCTGGAGTGCCCCCACCACAGAAACCCACAGCCCCCAGAGTGCCACCCGCCAGCCTGGTGCCACGAGAGGATGCCCAGAGTTCAGGGCTACCAGGGCCATTCAGGCTCAGCACAGGCGGGTACCACCAGCACATTGGCAGCACCAGCACTGCCCACCACCCAAGGGCTCGGTGCCACCAGGACTGCTCACCAGCTCGGTGCCACCAAGGGCTCGGTGCCACCAGCAGTGCCCACTGGCCTGGGGGCAACCAGGGCTGCCCAGGAACACCCAGAGCTTGGTGTCACTGAGGGAGATGCAGGAGCTGGATGCCACCCGGGGCTCAGTGCCACCAGCAGTGCCTGGGGCTAAGCACCACCCAGGTGTGCTCGCTGCCCCGGTGGCACCCAGGGATGCCCAGCGGCTCGGTGCCACTGGGAGTGCTCAGGGCTCAGTGCCCCCCGTGGGCACCGGGGCTCGGGACCAGCTGGGGCACTCACCGGCTCTGCACTGCCCGGGGCTCGGTACCACCGGGGGTGCCCGGTACCACCGGGGGTGCCCGGTGCTGCTCAGAGCTCAGCACCCCGAGGGGTCCTCACCCGCTGCACAACGCCCAGCGCTGCCCGGTGCCTCGGAACCACCGGGGCTCGGTACCACCGGGGATGCCCGGGGGCTCGGCGCACCGGGGGCCGCTCGCCTGCTCGGCATTACCTGGGGGCTCGCCGCTGTCGGGGATGCCCGGGGGCTCGGTCCCACCGGGAGGTGCTCCCCAGCTCGGTCTCGCCCGTGGGCTCCCGGTGGCCCGGTGGCCAGCAGCCCCGCCCCCCCGAGCCCACCGCCCCTCCCGTCCCGTCCCGTCCCGCGGCGGCGGCGGCGCGGAC